AGTTGCAGCATGGGCCACAAATTGGAACACTAATCTTTGTGAAGATCAAAAAAATGTAGCAGTAGTAGACGCCCTACTGGGATGTCTGCCCAGCCATTTTCGGGTGGAACATCAAGTTTTTTGGATGCTATGTGGTTGTTGATCAAAATTCCTTTATCCGGGAATTGGAATGGCCATCTTCGCGAATGAAAATTTTATTAGCCCAGCTTTGCAACCCAACAGCGAAAGGTTCCAGCAAGGTTCCAGGACTGTTCCGGTTTTTCGGGGCATGCATTTTCGTGTCACCAGTCCCCGGCCCCAGAGACTGAAACCCAACAGATTCGCTGTTGGGAACGTTCGCAAAACTTTTGCGAATAAACATTTCACTTTCGCGAACTCAAAAAAATATACTTTCGCGAGGGCTTCCAACATGACATGAACGGTCTTCACAATTAAAACTCTTTACAAGAACCTTTAGATCGATCACCATGCCTGAAAATCAGGAACTCGAAATTTCATGGAGTTGGCTATGTCTGAAAATTCTGCCTAGGATGACTTTCCCCCTTGAAATCACCGAGGGGTCAAGGTAGACCCTATCGACAACCCGCGCCCCGGACATGGGTCAAGGGAAACAGCGTGTCGTCCCAATCGAGAACAATCGCCGTCCTGTGAACAAATGGGAGACCATCCAAAAATGGGATGTTTCCCAACCCAAAATTGCCTGAAACGTGTGTTCAATCCTTGATTTATGGACTCAGGAGGAGATGATAGAAATGCTGGAGTCTACATCCTCATAGTACTTCAGAATTCGTAGGGATGGGTCGGGTATAGTAGGAATCACAATGTTACAAGAATGGTAGGATACTATGAACAATTGTTGGGAGCACATGGGGCTCGCCTATTGCGCCACACACCGCCAGGCAACAACAAGCCCAAGGTGGACAACGTAGCTGGAAAAAAATAGACTTGTAATTATGCAGAATCGCAATATAAAAAACAATTGATTCAATTGATCCTTTTTCAGGGATCCCCGGCTGTTTGGAGTGAGTTTGAGGAGGAATTTACAGGTTTTTCCCTGAAACTTGCGCAATTGATGGTGAAAAGCCGTGCGTTTCCTCTAGATTTCCCTCTGCGTCCTGTCTTCAGACGGCGCAAGGTTCTTTTTCTCCTGGAAACATCAGCTGTTCGCTCGCCGCGTGGCTGTAAAAATTGGAAGATCAAGTTTCGCACCTATAAAAAAGCGTGCTTAAAAAACTCCCAGAAATTTGCAGTTGTCCATTTTTCTAGGTAAATGGCAATTTATAATAATTAAGCCTACCTTGTCCTAGATTTGTCCTAGCAAAAACAATTGTTGTTTGATCCCCTAGTGATAAAACATGATAAAACTACCAGAAACCTTGGAATATCTTGGAATTTTGCGATCCAGGCGAAACAAACTGCCAACCCGAAGCTCCGCAGTCTCACAGTGTCTGGCACACCTGTGCAGTGGGATTCATCGGGCTCCACTGAGGCTGAGCTTCAATTTTTTTTGGATGTCAATAATTCATTGGATGAATTTGGTTCAATAAATTGACATTATCCAATGAATCATTAACATATATTGACATCCAATATTCAATACTCTGGATCATGTTCAATATTCTGGACAATGTCCAGTGAATAATTTTGGTTCAATAGATTCCAGAAAATAAATTGGATGTATTTCAATGTATCTTGCATCAACAAGAACAGAAGCATTAGTCCCATACCCAGACCATCACGACGCTGCTCCAGCCCGGAATAATGGGTGTCTGAAAATGAGGTATAACCCCCAAATCCTTTTAAAATAATAGGGAGAATGAGAATTAACTTGGTGGTTTCAGAGGTATGCAACTTCCAAAAGGATAGAAAAGTGATAAAATCCTACTAAAATAGTGATGACTTACGTTTCTATCTTGTTTGGGGGGCTGGGCTATACCACATATATATTTCCGAATATCTTTCTGATTCCAATGATGCCAAACATTCAAGGAATAAGTTTTACATACCCCATTTTTCAGACAAACCCATCTATGGTTGGATAACAGAAATGGGGCTTTCCATAGTCATGGGATTCTAAAAATAGCTGGATTGTCTCATGAAAAATCCCAACCAAAAAATGGATGACTGACAGTACCCCCCATGACTTAGGAAACCTCCAAATCCCATTTTCAATGGGAAAATCAATGGGTTTTGCGGTGAAGATTTTCCCTTAACCAATCCATGGCCCCCTGGAAAAATCCTTCAGGCCTTGCGAGTGGAGCGGAGCGGCAGAAGGAGGCTCCCAGCTCGAAATCTGAGGATGCCGGTGAGTGAGAGACCCCCGCGCAGTGAGAGACTCCCTGGCATTCAGAAGCCTCAAAAGAGAATCAACTATGACTATAACTATCTTTAACTAACAACATCAAATAACTATAGGTCATAGCATGTTAAAAGTGTGGAAAAAAACTATAACTTTGAAGTCATGAGGTCTCAAAAAATCCCTTCCACTAAACAGCCCAGCATCCCCACGGCCCCGGAACTTTTGGAGACCGTGTTGCCACACCGCGCCTGTCCATGTGGCCAATGCCGCATCCTGCCATTGTTGGGCACCCATTTCATCCATTTCACTGGCTTTCCAGGACGATTTTCCCATGGAAGATGTCGAAACATGTCCTGGAAAGTTCATCATTTTCCCGAAGCATGGCTATGGATGATGTTCCTATGGGGAAAAAAAAAAGTACTTCTCAATGGACTTGGACTGACCCTGGGTGCTGCTTAGGGCATCACTTTGACGCATAGCATTGGAAGTGGCGAGTCAATGGTTTTTGTTCTGCCTACTGTCTGGATTTGGGGATTCATTGGATAGAAAAGTTCCACGAAACCAAAGGTCGGTCCAGCAGATTTTTCACTTCGCAGAAACCTGTCTGCGAACCAACGAAATCATGACGCCGTTCCAAATGGATTTTGTCCCATGGGGTAACCCCCCAAATCGCATTGCATTTTTTCAACAGCATCACCATTTAACAGGCCCAGTACACCAACCATAGACTAATCAACCCATCGGGTTATGGATGTTCATCCCCCAACTTTGGTAGGTTGGGATGTCCATCTCCAAATCTCCCATGTTTATTAAATAAATCCATGATATCCCCATGATATCCCTATATTTAGATGGTTAAATCCATGTTTTTTCGCATGGGCCAGGGTCAATATTTGGCATATAGCTCCAAGTCATCAATTTTTGAAGAGTGTATTATCGTTTTCCAAGCCCCAGCTCAATTTCCAAAAAATCATCAGGATGTTTCGAAGACTACTCTCCATTAACCTCAATTTTGGCTGCAGCTCACATCAAAACATATAGCTGTTGCGGCACCTCCGAACTGGCCCACCACCTGGGTGTGGGGTGGGGTTTCCCCATTTGGGGATGATGTGTAGCCATAAAGCCATGGTGACGACTGGGGATGGGCCACATGGCATAAAGGGCCACATTCTCTATCTCCATTGTCCATGTTTGGAAACTTGGAAACTAGTTGGATTAATTAATGGGTTAGGAGCTATATTGAACTATCTCCATTTTCCTCTTCCCAAGCACTAGATAATTGGGTGATTCAGTGATTCACTATCATATGGTTGGGAAACCCTATTCGTAGCTCCAAACCACTCCCCATGTGGATAGCCAATGCTCCAAACCGCTCCCTCCATTCACCACTAGATGGTTAAGTTACCCTGAAAATGCTGGTTTCTGTTACTCTGGAAATTACCAAATGCAAATACAACTTAATAACATTGTATGAGGTTTTCTCTGAATCTCTGAAAATTAAGATGTAATGGTATGTCAATGGGGATAAGAAAATTCCAGTGGGATGTAATTATGGACATGATGGGGAAATAAACCAACAATATGGCTTTGTCGAGAAAGTTGGAATGGGACCCCCATTTATTTATGACCATTAAATCATTGGAAAAATGATGACCATGGGAAATGCCGGATTTTCTGGTATCCTGCTGCAATTTAAGATCTATGGCCGAAAGATAAAAAAAAACGTAGCCTTTGGTGATTTGCCATTTGTTGCCCCATTCAAATCATGGCCATTTTCGCTCCAACACCTGGATTCCACTGATGATACAGAGGTTGTCATAGAAAATCCCACGTTCGAATTGATTCGATTGCTATCCAATCTTGGAACCCAGAGTTTCTCCCAACAAAAAACATACAATGGAAGAATTTGTGTAAGTAAAGAGGTACTTGTAAAACCACCACCTTTGGGCTACGATTTCGTCGTCGAGTGACACTTCTGCACATGTCGCCATACCGAAACTAGAGCTGATCCTTCTTTGAGAAATCGACTACTTTGCCTTGAGCCACAGAGGAGAGGAACGCAACTGTGGCAGGTATCCAAGTTTTTGAAGCAAGACCTTTTGGGTCGGAATTGGTTTATATAAATTTAAATGACCAGTTTTCGAGAACATGTCACATTTGATAGTAGAAGAGTTTTTCAGTATACATTTTCCCCAATGGAAAATCAACCCAGTGAATTCTCCCTGCTCAGCAACAGCTCAGCAATTCAACTCCGCCGTTTTCCGCCCGGACGCCTTTTGGCGTGGCGAGTCGGCATGGCCTTGGGTCATGCCTTTTCGGGGCGTGGAATTCGCTGGAGACTGCAGGGAAAACACGTCTTTTCAAGTGGTTGGTGATTAATAATGGTTAATGGTAACTAATGGTGATTAATGGTGATTAATGGTGATTAATAGGGATTTAATGGGATTAGATGCCACAACAGCTCCAACAGCTTTGAATCTAGCTTGGACTTCCCCAATCTTCACTGCGAGCGAGCACCTTTGTCTGCACCCATCCCATGTGGCTTGACCAGGCCATCCCACAAAAACGGAAGGAAATGACCAGCCAAAAAAAAAACGATTTGCCTGTAAATAGTACATTACATGATGATCTATGTGATAATAAACACTAACAATCATAAGAACACCAGTAGTAATGAACCAATTCCCAGATTTTCTCAAATCGACAGATTCATCACATTCTTGGGAGGACATGGCGCTGCTTTCTAGTGCACCAGCTAGCGATCTGGCGCTCAGTACTCCCCCCAGCAGCGTGGGACTGGCGCGGGGTTTCCAAATGGCGATTCAAGTGAAAGCAAAAAATGGTGAAAAAATATACATTTCTGGTTCTTAAGTGTCTGAAATCTGAAAATGGTGGAATTTAGCAATAAAGAATAATGGTATAAAACCTGTCATTTCATGGGGATGTATGTGTATATGTAATGGGATATACAACCAACAATATGAGATGGATGGGAAAGTGGGGAATATCAATAAAGTTGACGTTTGAAGAAAATATGTTACCGGACAAACTCGTGGCGACGGAAATTCGCATATTTAACCGGAAAATATTGAGAAACATCGTTCAACAGTTCAACAGGCAACTCTCCCTTGCCAGGTTAAACTACCAAAACGGAATTAAAGGGTGACAATGGGAAGAAACCTGTTTCAATCTACTACTAGGGACAGTGGGGACACAAGATGAGTCAGCCCATAGAACTACAGTAACTATTCCCAACTTCCCAACTACCCTCCTGGAATCAAACTAATTGAAAGATCGGAAAAGATCGGAACCGGGCCCGTCGACATGCCAAAACGAACCCGGAAAATATAAAGGGACCTTCGCAATATAAAAATTGAAGATCCTATATAAATGGACGTTTGAATTGGAAAAGCATCTATCAATGGGTGGTCCATTGCCACGTTTTATCAAAGGGTAGGAATTATTTTGCCAAGGTAATCCGCCACTAGTTTAGCACCAAGCCAAACCAGACTGATGAAGCTCAGCCAACGAATCTGAAAGTTCTGGAAAAACCCAACTGTTCCATGGTTCAAATATGTTTCAAACTCTTCCAACCAGCCATAAATTGTTCCGTCCCTTTTTTCGACCATCTTGGACACAATCAATGCACTCTACATAGACAACCAACATCTCCATGGCTAAGTTGGAATCCACCCAACTCAAAAACCACAGATGCTGGCCATATCCAACAGATCCACTGCGATGCATCCAGGCTCCCAGGCTCTCTGGGTCAATCAGATCAATAAACTCCTGTAATTTCTGCTGCTTCTCACCTGGCGGAATGGAATCCATGACCTGCGGGAAATGGGGAAACAGCCCATTTTGTGGCACCCCATTCCTGCGGACAAGTGTGAGACACCAATGCACTCGGGGTATCTTATTCCTGAAAAAAAAATGCACGGAGTTTGGGCTGAGCCAAACAAAATCTTATATAAAATTAAAGGAGAAGGTACCTGTAACCACACCAAAGTTGCGGATACAAGTATACCTCGATAACTTCAACTTGAATCTCAAAAGAAATCCTCAAAAATCATGGAATTTCCAACTGCAAAAATCATCTCACAAGTCCTCAAATGTCTGGGGTGTTCCATGCCAATTCTGCAGGGGATACATCACCTAAAGCCCATAACAGTTCTTGTTCCCAAGCCCTTCGCCAACCTTCGAACCCTTTCAAAAAAGAACTTAAGCTGGGGGTATGAAATAGTCCTCAATGTGTGCTTACACATCGCACAGCTACCATGCAAAATCTCAGCAATTTTATCGCCTATCAATGACCAGTCACGTTATCCAAAAACTATATGTGCTCCATGACAATCATCTATAGATGATCCATGACATACCAATATATAATATGGATGTACCAGTATCATATACATCTATATAATCCCACATTACCAACAAATGACTATGTACCATATGGTCCATATCCCCTGGTTCATATCAAACACCCAAAAATAACATGGTCCCAGAGTTCCAAATGATGGTGGTTTCGTCATGTTTCATCCTTTATAAAAAAAAAAAAAAACATGGTTTTCTGGGGATTTTGTTTAACCAAAACAAAGGGATGTGAGGGATGTAGTTGGACCTGCAGTTCCAGCTTTAGAAGCGGATACATATATATATATATATACGTATATATATGTATATATATATATGCATATAGCCATAGTCATAGGGGGTTCTATCCCAACTTTTGGGGGTTACCCTCTGGTAAACTTACAAAAAACTATGGAAAATAATCACCATTTTTGATGGGAAAATCATCACCATTTTTGATGGGAAAATCCACTATTTCAATGGTCATTTTCAATAGCTATGTGAGTTTACCAGAGGGTATATCCCATTAAATCCCATTAAACCACCATTTTCCTATGGTTTATGGCCTGTTCCCCCAGTTAAATTACCAGAGGGTAAACAAACCATGGGACTTTTCTCCTGAATCCCCTGACTCCCACCTGTGTGAAAGGGGACCGCATCCCGGAGCACGTCAGGCACGTCGGCCTGTTTGGAATCCACCCGTGGTGAGGTGGTGGAAAAATTCACGAAAAAATGCGGATGAAAACATGATTCATGAGCCACTTAGAAGCCACTTACCCTCCACTTACTGGGAATTTCATGAGTTTTTTCGTTCAGGATTGATTACCAAACAATGGGATTCGATAAAATCCACGATATTGACCAAAAAATGGGAGGGATTTAGCCTCCAATTGCTGGGATGATCCAATTCAAGTTCGTACTTTTTTGGCAGCCGGAATGTATTTTCAATGAAGCTTCCACAGCCTAAATGATCCATTTTCGGATCCATTCTAAACCATCTTGGGGATCCCCAATTTGCGGAATCCCCATAGATTCCCAGATATGGCATGGTATAATACGGTATAATTGCATATACCCTCTGGCTATTTAGCATAGCCATGGTATAGATGGCCCGTAGAAATAGAGCTTTACCGTTCTTAAAAATGGTGGATCCCTATAATATGGTATAATTTACAACTATAGATGGTATATATACCATAGATATACCATAGATATACCATAGATATACCATAGATACCCCATGTAGATCCCCATGTTTTTCATTTATAGATCCACCCTACCGCTCCAGTGGCCCTGTATCCACCTCCATGACGCGCTGGCGGTAGACGATGGCATCATCGCCCTCACAGATCTTCCAGAGGGCATAGCTGGCGGTTTCCTGGCGCCGATCGGAAGATATGCACGGAAGATATGGGAAAATATATGGATTCCCTTAGATAGGATATATATGGTGTATATATATATATATGATGTGTATATATATATATAGTGTATACATACATGTATGGTGTATACTGTGTATACTATATATATATATGTATATATGTGTGTGTGTGGTAAATATATATATATATATGTGGTATATGTATATCCATGGTATATCCATGGTATATCCATGGTATATCCGTGGTATATCCATGGTATATCCATGGTAGATCTATGGTATATTTATGGGAATAGGGTAAAATTCAACTCCATGGCAGGTTTGAAAATCTGTGTTTTTTTTCTCGATGTTTGATACGCTATGGATCACTTGGTATATTCCCCAATGATTAAATCATGGGGGATGCCTAAGTCACGGCGGTTAATGATGGGCTACCATGACAATCGGGACAATAATGATGAACCTGTGGATGCAATAATATGGCTTCCCCTCAAAAAATTCGGACAAACCCATAGATGTCAATAGTCCATCGTACAATTTGCAGATGAAGTTCTCACTAGATGAAGTTCTCACTAGATGACTTGATACCGTTTCACTAGCTTTTGTCATAACTTTACAGGCATTTATAGTTATTCCATAGATAACAGTTTCCTATACAGTAGCTTTTTAAGATCCAAAATCTATAGTCATCTCATCTTTTATGACTATATATTTAGATGACTATGAAGATGATAAATAAATAAACAAGTAAATAACTAGGAGTTTAATGTAATTAGATAGGATGGGTTGATGTAGATATTTTGAATACAGGTGTAGTAACCGTGACAATATTTGCGAGGATGACAATGATGACAATGAAACTGCTAATGATATCCATCCATCCATCCGCCTCATTCTCATGGAGTTCAAATGATGGATTATTTTCATAGAATTCACATGACGGATTTAATAATAGATGTCAATAGAATGTAACTCATGACAATTAAGTATGTTTTTGCTCATTGCGGATGTTCTTGCCAATTCATTTACGAAATCATATTGTTTTCTTTGATGCATGTATGAATCTGTGCCTTTATCAACGAATTTTGACATGCAAAAACACCTGCTGCACTGTACTGCGATTTGGAAGTTGTGCCCTGGTATTTTTGTTCACCTGGCCTCTGAGTTCGATCAAAACCCAAAGTGTTCGCTCCAAAAAAACTACCAACAAATCTGTGCAAACCTATTCTTCCCATAGAATCAAATTATGCCCAGACCAAACAAAAAAAAAACAGTTCTCTCCCCGTCCTGCAACTGTTGGTGCTTGGGGTTCTTCAACAACACCGATGCCAATGACTCAATGGCGTCAGCCTAGGGGGGCACTTCCCCAGTCATCATCTGATACCCAACCTGGTTATGACTAACAGTTTGCCATGGTTTTTCGATGGCCCTAATCGAAATAGATGCCTTACCGAACTTCAAAATGGGTGGATATCTTTCCATGGTTTATTAGGAACTTGAATCAAACCATGCCATTCACAGATTGAATCCATGGTTTCTTAGGGGGTATTCCCCCAATAGTTATGATTTGATACTGAAAAATGGTACCCCCCAATTCAACAGCCGTAAACGGGGTTTATTCATCCAGGCTTGACATTACCCAAAAAAAACAAACAAATGGGAACAAAATTGTAGTGTTTTGGTTGTTTTGGGATATCACTTGCAAAGTCTGAATGATTTGGCTGGGCTAAATGATATCCAACTTCAACATCTGATATGAATGCTACACCAGCCTAACCATAGAAAAACACATCGGAAAATGCTTCCAGCTGGCACACCAGTCGGAACTATGATCAACGCTGAAAGATGACTGGTGGGATGTGTATATTGAAATATATATCTATCAGAAAAATATATTTAAATAGGGATCCATTTTATGGGGTTGATATCCATTTACCGTTTCTGCTTGAAATGGATCTGCAAAAAAGATTCACATATTGATATCAACAACAAACACGACAATATCGTGCACATTACAGCGTTCAGCATCCACCCTTGGGTTGCAGAAATCCCGAAATATGCCGATCGGGCGGGACTGTGCCCAATTGATTTACGTTATCTGAATATGTGACTGTGTCAAGTCATTTGGTCCAAAAAATGTTTAAACAAAAAACAACGCAGCAGCAGGAACAACAACAGTCCGTCTGTGAAACCCATTTTGACTTCTGGGCTAGTCACTGACACAGATGTAAACCTTGGGACTATATTCCCATCTGGTTGGTGGTTTCAATCCCTCTGAAAAATGATGGAGTTCGTCAGTTGGAAAAATAAAAAATGTTCCAAACCACCAACCAGCCATTATACATGGCAGTGTGTCAAAACCTTGTACCCCTGGTGAACATCAAAATAGCTGGTAAATGGATGTTCATCCCCCTAAAAATGGTATTAATAGGTATTGATCCATACCCACATCATTAAAAACCTTCCCCATTCAACCAGTGACACCATGTGACACCCATCCCATCCCGTCCTTCACAGCACTCAGCCGCACCGTCCCAAAGTCCTTGTTGACCAAACTGCCCAAAGCCGCCGCCAGTGAGCGCAAGGACTCGGGGTCGTTGCGGTTGATGCGCAAAGCGCTCACCAGGGTCTCTAAGACACCGGCCTGGTGTCAGCTTTCTGCACCAGGTGTGGTGATATAATGGGATTTGATGGGATTTAATGGGATTGATATAATCGGATTTAATAGGATTTAGTGGGATTTTGCATGATTTAGGTAAGTTGGTGCAAAGAACTAAGGTGAATTAACTATGGTTTATGGTAGAAATATCGAACTACGTAATGGAAATTGAAAACCAACTTATAACTGGGGCACCACCTTGTGATCTCTGAGCCATGGTCAGGCTACACAGGAATATCATGGGAATATTATGAGAATACAACCGATTTTTTTCGTGGCATGTAATGCGGAAAACGCTGCGTCTGCGTGTGTATATATAAATATATATATATACATATAGGGGACATGCTGGGGGTTCCCCGGAAGACGTAGGAACCTTCAGTCTCTCTCTGATAGATATATGCATATTTTGTCGTTCTTGCATACAGATGGGGGGTGGGGGGGATGTTAACGTTCATTGCATTGCGTCATCAGAAGATGTTGCTACGTTGAAGATCGTTCTTGCATACAGATGGGGGGTTGGGGGGATGTTAACGTTCATTGCATTGCGTCATCAGAAAATGTTGTTACGTTGAAGATGTTGTTGCGTTCAAGAAGTTGATACGTTGAAGATGTTGTTACGTTCAAGATGTTGTTACGTTGAAGATGTTGTGCACCTACGAATGCTTTCAAAACGGCTTTGTGGATGTGGAGGGAAGAAAGGCTCATGTGCATTTCGCCCATGGTTCTCTGGTGGATTATGACATGTTTATGTCTATCAAAAGAAACCTGAAATTCCAAAAAAGCACGCAAATCCTATAGGAAAAGCAAAAATGATGGTGAGTATCAGTTGCTGAACTTGAAAAAAAAAACATTGAACATTGAAACAGCGGACAACATATCCCAGATATGTTGTCCGGATGTTGAACTAATTCCTGGTATTGTCACGTTATAGGAAGAACACAAAACACTGTAAAACACAATGAAAAATGACATGTTTCAAACTGGAACACAATGAACTTCAATTGCCTTCCGCGGAACCGTCAGCCTCTGCCCTATATATATATATACACACACAGTATAGTATACATATGTAACGTAGCCAACATATGGGGTTTGATCCTAGACAATCAATGGGAGGCGTGTAAAGAATGGAGGAATAAGGGTATAGTGAGAATTTAACCATCATCTATGGATATATATATATATAATTAGATATATATATATATATTGTTATATTGTTTTAATGGGATATAGTAGCGGAATGGAACACGAACTAAGAAAAACAGCATAGTAACAACACATCAGTTTCACATATTCCAGTGACGGCCAAGTTTCCTAGCTTACAACCCATTTCAGTAGGAAGCTTCACTGCATCAAAGGGGTGAGCCTCAAAGAATATGGCATATGAACCAGCTGAACCAGCAGCAACTGCATGAGATGAGCTGGGGATGAGATGGTTAAACCATGAAAAACCCGTATGTTTGCTGGCTAAACATCATATGTTTGATTGGCAAATCTCCTATGTTTGATGGCTATGACATCCTTATTTATGTTTTATGGTTAAACCCCCCTATGTTTTAAAAAAGCTTTCAGCCGATATTTAAATCGCCTATATGTGGTTGTTTGTCTACATATTAACATAAAATGCTACATCGGCTACATCCCCATTTTATGGTGCGAAAAAATAAATCCCGCTATGTTGTTGGTACAAGTTCCTCACTTTTATAGGAACATCAAATCCCAAGGTTTACGCGGCGAGCTGATGTGGTCCCAGCGGTTTTTCATTCCCAAGTTTCGATGATCAAACCCTGGAAAAAAAACCCACAGTTAGATGGTCATATCTTCAAATTCAAGAAATCCTCTCACCTACCCTCTGGTTAACTAACATAGCTATTGAAAATGGCCATTTATAGTGGATTTTCCCATTAAAATGGTGATTTTCCATAGCTATGTTAAATTACCAGTATGTTGGATGATTCAACCCTCCCATGTTTGAGAGCTGAATCGCTTAAACCCTCTATGTTTCATTGCTGTTTCACTTCATTGCTTTTTTTTCAAATCCCAACATCTTTATATAATATTATATAATGGTGTAGTTTACCAGGTCAGCCAACAATGTACCAAATGGGGCTCAGTTTTTACAAATCGTTAACCTAACATCTCTAGGTGCTTCAACCACCCATCTGCGGTACCGATGGCAGCAGCCACCAGCCTCAACGGCGCGCAGCCGCAGCAAGCCCGGGTCATCGCTCAGCAAAGTGCTCAGCGTGGCCGCCAGACAGCGCAAGGACTCGGGGTCGTTGTGATGGCGCAGGGCCAAAACCAAGGACTCCAGGGCCCCGGCCTGACCGAAACTGACCGAAATGGCTGGTGAAACCATGGTTGAGACCATGGTGAATCACCGTTTCACCAGTCAAAGTGGGGATTTGAGTATCAAAATGAATGGAAATTTAAGGCATGTGAAGGTTTCAATATGGGGATTTCTGAGTTTCTTTGTTCAAAATCCCCAAGTCACCACTGGTTTCAGTACTAAACTGATTTAATTTTGGATGGTTTGGGGGTAGGCCCATTTTAGGAAACCTCCATTTAAGTATGATAAATATGAATTTAACCCATCAACAGGTCGTGAAGGTGAAGGGATTGCTCTGCATTTTGGAGGAATCTATCCGTATTTGAACTGTGGAAATCTTCCATGTGGAAAGCCAATACCATCCCCCTGGGCCCCTCTTCCGACGCCGACCTTGCCACGATTCGAAAAGGGTCAATTTCTTCGTCGGGATGGTTTTCATGTCATAAAAGGCATGCAAATTTCACCGTAACGACAACGTGAAATCAACTGGTTGGTGGTTGAGCCCTACCCCTCTGGAAAATATGATTTCGTCAGTTGGGATTATTCTTCCCGATATATGGAAAAATAAAAGCCATGTTCCAAACCACCAACCAGTCAACGTTTCTTCACTGTGACTTTTTTTTGCGGAGTGACACGGAACAACAACTTGAGTGATTGGACATCATATAGGCTTTCCAACCACATGGCATCTTTTCAAGGCAGCGCAGCACTACAACAACTTGGTCGTATCTCCTATTACCAGAATTCAAAGTCCACCACTATGATCTAATATATGTCCGTGCAAACTCCGCTTGGAATATCATCTACCTTGTACAGCAGCACACAGCTCCAACCAGTCGTGGATCACGAGAGTACCGCAGACCACGTGGGCACTCATCAGTAGTAGGAAAAGAAAAAGCTCCGGAAGATCGTTGACTTGATACTGGTCGCAGAAAACATCCCTCCCCCCTCACCCTGATAAAGAAGTCCAAAGCCTCAAGTGATTCGAATTCACTTATTCAGGGTATTTCAACCCGTTTCAGTAGCTTACATCAGCCCGTTGTTTGGCTAAATCATGGTTAAATCATGTTAAATCATTGCCAATCTCAAATTTCCTGCCAAATATCACATGAATAACGACAAATCTTTTGTTATCGGATTGATTTATCCCCATCAATGTGGGTGCGCCTGAAAGCGGGGAATACTCATAAATGGCCACTTGAATAGGGAAAATCATTTTTTCAATCATGATCATCCATCACAGCATCACATTTTGGGGGGTCCCAACATTGTCAGAGAAACCCATGACTGGGGGTTTCCGTAAATGGAGGATCCCCAAAAAAGGTTGGTTTATAATGGAAAATCCCATTAAAATGGATGGGGTCCCATGACTTGGGAAACCTGCATATGGTCAGCCAACTTCCCAAGTTCCCCAGGCCAACTTCGCCAACTTCCCTTGGTTTCACCCGACCTCAGCAGCTGCCTCGCTGAAGACGCCGCCGGTATCCCCAGCGCAGAGGCTTTCCAAGGCCTTCGCCGCCCAACGCATCAGTTCCACGTCGGAGCTCGCCGTCATGCAACCCAGCAAGGCGCCAGCACAGCCCGCCTCCCAGAGAAAAAAAGTTGCCCAGTTGGGTGAAGTTTTTTTAGCATATATGATCATATGTGTATATATATAATTGTAGATAGGAATCAAAATGTCTCACATCTCAGCTTTTTGTTCAGAGACGCTCCTTTTTCAACGGGAAAGTCGTTGATTTAGTTATATATTTAATTGATTGATATTTAAAAAAAAAAACTGCCATTTCAGGGATGTTCCACCATTGCCAAGTTGGACTATCATGAGCACTGTAGGGAGCTACCGGCCTCGACGCCTCAACCAGCTTCCCACTCCAGAATTTCGAGGCGTCGTCCCCACGAGGATAGAAAGCAAAATCCTACAATAGTGGTAAATTGGTACATGTTGTTATCTTTTGGGGGTTAGTATATTCTTATGATATGTGTATGTATAGTATGTATAATATCTAGTATTATTTATATATATATATATGATGGTTTCCTCTTAACACCACCTTTTTGGGATGTTAACCATGTGACCACCAAAATTCAAAAGATTCTGTTCAAACTATGTAAACAAAAAATACAAAGTGTCATCAAGAAACATGAAAGATGTGAAAATTGTTCGTCCCAGAATCAAACACCTATTCAATCCAACGCAAAGTGCACTTTCCGGGACACCAGCGGTTTACACGACTCAACCAGGTGAGTAACTTGCCATCATCTCAACTGGGCCGAGTTCTGCTATCACAGCCGGACGAGAATGGCACACGAAGTGAGGATGGGTTCCTGGCCTGAAAAAATCCTCATCCACCATGGAATTTGGGCACCCAAACACGGTGCCGTTTGGAGGGTGTCATGAAATGACCCAATTTGTTTGCTGACTCAACCTCCATCTGTTGCTGAATTCTTGGTTGTCTCAATCTCCTGATGTTTTGCTTGGTGAAGTTCCCACCTTTGGTAGAATTCCCATATATAGCTGGTTCGGCAGTCTTGAGAAAAATCATCCCCATCTTGTTGAATTACCGGTACATCATGGTACATCCATTGTCTTCGGTGGATTAAAATATGAAAAGCCCGAGTTTGGCCTCCCCTCCATGCCGTGGCAAGTGCGGAAGGCGACTCTGCGGCTGACAGGAACGGCAGGTGATACCCCTCTCCGCGCCGAGAATCCAATGGACACATTAGCGCATCGTGTCATTGTCATCCACTGAACATCAGTTTGTCCGATCGACCGTAGAGACAAACCAATGCCAGTGGGTTGGCCCCAAACTCCCAGCTGCCCCCCACTGTCCAACACTGGAGTGGTCACATGGGTCTGGCAACTTGCCATGCGCCTCACACCCGGCCAACGGTGTGCAGAGTGCCAACCGCTACATGTGTTAGACAACCCTGCGGGTAAGGCTTTCAGTCCAACGTTTTCTGCCAGGATGGAGGAAATCAGGTTCAAGACGCCAAACTGCAAAAGAAAAACGGTTGAACTACCAGCACTCCGCGATAGCCACATGGGTGCAATAAAACCACGAGCCTTCAAGACAGAGAAACTCAAGTCTCAGATGACAAGTTAGCCTCTGGTAAACTAACATAGCTATTGAAAATGGCCATTTATAGTGAGTTTTCCCATTAATAATGGTGATTTCCCATAGTTATGTTAGTTTACCAGAGGGTAGCTTCCTGGCCAGAGACATGTCATCAAAGTGGCCAGGTGAAAAATTGCCACGAAATCCCGGCCACAGAACACGGAAATGACATCCCTGAGAAATCCGGCGAGCAAGGACTATGATTCGATGGCCAGTAAGAACCTCCATTCCTTGCACGGTGGTTGCGACAGAATGTATATCTATCAATGTATAGATATGTACGTATAGATATGTATAGATATGTATAGATATGTATAGATAAATGTCTATTAAACTATTACCCACTGAAAAAAAACATGCGGGTATGACCTTGGAATTCCAGGGCTGACTCAGACACTTCAGCATACCCCTGAAACTTCAGCAGGAAAACCCTCCAAACAGACCGCATCCCTGCACCGTGAGCCCAATGGACACACAGCTGCCCACCCTACAACCTGGGATCAGGGCACCAGTCAACCCGCATGGCAAGGGATATGATAATGTGTTTTTTATGCCCCATGAAATGGCAAAGTCAATTATATAAAATTGTCTACCTTTGGGATCGTTGGGATCCTTTCTGGTCAATTCAGGTTTCACAACAAATTTATCCAAGTCTCATTTGGCATCTGCCCACAAGTGATTCGGAAAAAGAAAAACAAACTCAACCGGGAATTTTTTACAATCATCACATCTTAATTTCACCCAAATCCAAACTGAGGCAGCTCAGCCTCCCATCTCCCACCCTCCAGTCACCAGGCCTCAGCCGCGTGTTGTCGCACCTCCACTCCCGCCTCCTGTTGTCCGATGCTCCCCATGGCCCAGGCGGCCCACTTCTGGAGCTCCAAATCTGCAGGGTGTCCAGTTATGGCGGCCACCAGCATTTCCAGGGCACCTGCCTGGGATCAATGATTCGCCCAAGTGCAGTGCGGTATTCCTGTGAAATTCACCAAAATAAATAACTAATGACCTTATAGCATTGTTTTCTTTGCATAGCCAACCAGCCATCCATCTTGGAGAATTTTTCCAGCCCCAAAAAAAACAAATAACATGTATATATATATATGTATATATATATAATATATCTATATAATATCTATATGTATATATTTAAATATATATATGTATTTATTTATATATTTATTTACATATGTCTATCTATCTATCTATCTATCTATCTATCTGTCTGTCTATCTATCTATCTATCTATCTATCTATCTATCTATCTATCTATCTATCTATCTATCTATCTATCTATCTATCTATCTATATACATATACATATATACATATATACATATACATATATATATATTATACATATATACATATATACATATATACATATATACATATATACATATATATACATATTTACATATATATATATACATATTTACATATATATATATACATACATACATACATTACATTACATTACACTACACTACATTACATTGCATTACATTACATACATACATATAGAGAGAGAGAGAGTTTTCCTTGCCCCAAAACCATAGATGTCAATACAATGCTCTAATTTCAGATGATTTTTTGGGATCCCCCGGCAGCTCCCCACCTTGGCCGCGCAAGCCGCGCGCGGCCCGCGGCCTGGATCCTTGCCGGCGCAGAGGATGCCCAGCGCGCCACAGGCGCTGCGCTGCAGCGCGGCATCGGGGTGGCACTTCAGGGCGACTAAGGCATCGAGGACACCAGCCTGGACGCTGTCAAGGTGCGGTTTGTTCTGTTCAAAGTTGGCTCAGTCCCTGGGTTGTAGAACCCAATCTGGAAATGATCAAAGGAAGTTTAGAACTCAAACTTCCGACAATATGGACGGATGGAAAAGCAAAGGTGGGAAGAGTCAGAGAAGAAAAGAGGAGAGAAGAAGAGAGAAGATCAGAGAAGAGAAAGAGTCAGAGAAAAGAAGATGCAGGTGCGCGAAAAAGTAGAAAACTCGCGATTCACTGTGTTTTTCCAATGATTTCTGGCTCCGGAGGGTCGAAAAGTAGGCTCGCTAAAGCGGCGGGTGCGGAGCCATCTGGCCAGATGAGAGATGAAAAATTGCACGCCGTTGTGGCGCAAAGCACATTTCCAAGTCAAAATGTACAAAACACACCAACATCGGACCGCTTTTGGAAGTTGAGATGTCGAAAAAGTGCACGCAGTTGTGGCGCGAAGCACATTTGGAAGTCAAAAGTGTTAAAAACTGACGGGTTCAAGCACTTTTGGAAGTTGAGATGTTGAAAAAGTGTACGCCGTTGTGGCGCGAAGCACATTCCAAAGTCAAAATGTACAAAACACACGTTCAGAGCATTTTTCGAAGTTGAGATGTTCAAAAAGTGTACGCCGTTGTGGCACGAAGCACATTTCCAAGCCAAAATGTTAAAAGCACCACATGTTCGGACCACTTTTGGACGTTCAGATGTCGTTTCGCGTGGCAGGCGCAAGGGATTCTGCACCTTGTCAAAAGTGAGCAAAACGTGAGGGTTTTGTAGCAGTTTCAAAAGCGTTGGCAGGCGTGGGACGTTTGAAGAGGATTTGCAAAGATGAATTTCGCGTGGCAAGCGCAGTACAAGAGACATGTTCATCAGAGATGTTAGGAGGTCAGGGCGCTGATTTTCTTGAGAGAGGTTGCATTTTGGAGCATCGGATCTTCAGGTTTGCTAAAATGATTTTGCGTGACAGGTGCAGCACTTCGTACGACCTGGCCTCACTTTTTCGTGGCAGGCGCAGCACTTTACACAGATGGAGTGAAAAATTGCAAAACGCACTGGCACTCAACTTTCCATGTTTGAAGGAAGTCTCCCAGCATTGCTTTGTTTTTGATGTTGTCAACTTCAAAAATTGAGGAAGTCTCGCAGAATTTCTTCGTTTTGTGACGTTGTCAAGTTCAAACATTGAGGAAGTCTCGGAGAATTGCTGCGTTTTTGATGTTGCCAAGGTCAAAAATTGAAGAAGTCTCGCAGAATAGCTTCGCTTTCTAGCTTGCAGATAGACAGATAGATAGACAACTACAACTACAGCTACACCTACAACTACCACTACACTTCACTACTACTACAGCTACAACTACAAATACAAATTTACTACCCTACATTACACTACACTACACTACGCTAATTACAGTACACTACACTAATTACACTACAACTACAGCTACAACTACAACTACACTACATGACACTACACTACACGCTTTGCACTAATTACACTACACTACACTACAACACAACGACACTCCAAAAAACAACACTACACTACACTCATTGCACTGCACTACGCTACACTACAATTACAACTACAACTACACCTACACTACTTCAGACTGCACTACAATACACTATACTACACTACAGTACACAACACTACAGTACACTACTGTACGCTACACTACACTACACTACACTAATTACATTACACCACAACTACAACTGCTACTGCAACTACACCTACACTACACTAATTACACTACACTACAACTACAACAGCACTACACCACACTACATCCAGCACTTCTGGGTGAGGTGACCACTGCAACCATTGGAACCACTCCAAAAACACAACTCCAACCACCTTTCGGTCCATCAGTGGATTCTCTCTGCCATCCATGCATCACAACAACTCATCTCTCCAAAAAAGTGTCATATCTTTGAAACTTCCGCCACCGCCTTGCGCGGTACTACTGGGATATAACTTATATGATCCTTAGTTTCTAAATCCAGTAGTAACAATCGACCAATGTTCGGATCCAATTTCCATCAATTTCCCATCGGCCTCAGCTGCTCGGTCCGAGCGCTGTCGTCCCAGATGATCTTTGCCCACACAGATCATGGCTAACACGCCACAAGACACCCGCTGCAGCTCTACCTGTGGAAACTGGTGGAACTGGTGGATTCTAAATATGTATAAATACCCTGAAATATGGTGGATTCATAGTGGTTAAGGTAATTTAAGATGAATGTTGCTGAAATCCGATCCAATTCTAGAAAATCCAAGACCAAATCACCTGCACTTTGAACTGTAAAGATGTCCCAAAACATCTTGAAATTGTTGAATTTCACAACCAGCAACTGTAAACGATTCATGAAACTGGATGCGAAGTTCCCACGACATGCTGAGATTTGTCACTAGTTTGGGCATTTTTTTTGATGGCAATCTCCGTTTTTACCTGCTTCCATGGCTGTCAAAGTTACAGTGCTTGTAGCTGTGTGGGTCAAAGCCCTGGTGAACATCCCCAAAGATGATCCATTCTCCCAACATCTCCCAACCTTCCGCATGGTTGTTACCCCACCTCCATGGGGTGTCTGAGCATAGCTGCAGCCAGGGCCTCCAAAGTACCAGCCTGAAGAAACCAATGAAAAATTGAATGGCTTGGTCTCGTTGGGAAAATCCCAAGGAAACCCATGGTGTTTACTTTTTACAAAATGGTGGTTGTCCTGACTTTTCTGAGGCACCGAAGCATGGTTTTTTGTCGAACTGTTCGAGGTGTACCACGGGCTTTTGTCACATAGCCACGGTTCCAATTTCTTCAATCTGGCTATGATTATACCCTCCCTAACAGACGCCAAACAGGCTACTTTTGTCAGACCACTTTCCGAATTGGGGGTGATTCTTAAAGTCTACGTCAGTTGGATGGTAATCAGAAATTTGTCGAAAAATTCTGCTGAAATTCTCCATGGGTGGCCTCCGCAGCACGCTGCGCGCGCGGATGCCCTGCTGGGTCACCAGTACAGATCCTTGGTGCCGCCCGGGGGGCCGCTGGAAGATTTCTCGCAAAAATGTGGTTTGACCAGGACATACCAGGACAAATTGTTCAATTCAGCCGCAAAAAAACATCGTGTAAAAGTTGGAGAATGAGAAAAAAACATGGTGGTTTAGGCCGTTTAGGCAAGACAAATTGGGAGATTCACCTATAAAAATGGTTGCGCATCAAATCAATCATAACATATCATAACATATTAATATAAATCGATAAATTCAAATTTCACAAATGAAAAAAAGGGGAAAAACCATCATTCATGGGAAGTAACCAATGCACTTATTACTTTTGGTTCCGAACCACTATGATATTCAGCAGATTGAAAGGGTTTGGTCCAGTCCCAGTACTTTCGGGGAACGTTCGAGCGTTTCATCAATCCCTCAATGATGACCCCAGCAGAAACTGGATTTTTGATGGGTTGAAACCAAGCAGAGGTGGTTGCCAATACCGATGATTGTGGGTCACATCCATTGATATCCTATCATTGTTGTTGGTTGAAACAATTCAGATGATGTACCTATCCTTGTGGGTTGTGTGTGTGTGTGTCATCATCGCTGGTGGCTGAATTGCCAGCAAGATAATACTATGGATCAATGTTTGGACCTGTTTCAATCCGACATTTTTAGATGTTGACCAAATTCCAATGATACTAACGAATCGCAGATTCATTTTCTAAGTGGCAAGTTCAGGTACTGTATCTGACAGTTGGACACACCTATCGTCTTGTGGTTACTCGATTTCCATGATATGCATGATCCCATTGACCATGTAAATTTATATCTTCGTATATTTTTTTCTGATGTTTGTATCAACTAGCTGCATAATTCGGTGATCTCTATGTAATGTTGGCTATGATCATCTTGGTATCTCGGATTAAAAAATCAACACTGATCAGTAAGAATCTCCAGATCAGTGGATAAAATCTCAGATTACCAGATCATCTCCAGATGATCTCGGATCAAAAAATCCACTGATCTGGTCCCCGGTGGTCCCCGGTCGTTCGCTTCGCTTCGCTTCGCCAGGCCAGGCTCGCGCTGATCGCCGCAGCCCCCAGAAACTGCAGCTCCGCGGTGCTCTCCGGGTGTTCCATGGCTGCCACCAACGCCTCCAATGCGCCCACCTTGGGCACGGAGAAACATGGCGATTTTCGAGGTCCAACTTGGATTTTCTTCAGATTTCTTGGGTCCAAGTTAGAAAATGTTGATGTGTTTTTTTGTCCAACTTAGATTTGTTTGGAGATGTTGAACACGAATTGGGATTGAGTTGAGCAAGCTCGGCACTGAAAAAGAACATGTAAAATTAGAGGGATGACCCAAATGGTGGCCTCTGACTGGCAGAAATAAGATTTGACCGGACAAATTTCAATGATGTTTGACCAGCAAAAATGGGAAAGGAACCCACCTGATCAACTTCAATCAAGGTTCAATCAGCACAAAAAACTAGGAGAGCTGGAGCAACACCAGTGGGGATGTTCACGATGAATCACGCGGAACATCGAACCATAGTTAAACTCAAAACCTTGCAACCCCAAAACCCAAGATTGTTGGGGGGATTGAAAAAAACTGGAACAAAAAAACTCAGTATCCATACTTCCAAACCCAAAGAAAGAAATTTCAGTCAACTTCAACAGGTTCCCTTCAACCCCAATCCCCAGCCCCCAGCCCCCAGCCACCCCCGTGCCCCGAGGTCGCCTCAATGGCCCGCTCCACGCAGCCCCGCTGCACCTCACAGAGGACGCCCAGCGCGGCGCCGCAGACCACGCGCAGCTCGGCGTCCGCCAGGTGCTGCTCCAGGGCGGTCACCAGCAACGCCAGGGCACCGGCCTGGATGATCAGCTCATGGGACTTACCCGGCCTGGTAAACATACAAAAAACTATGGCAAAACACCATGCTATTAATGGGAAAATCAACTATTTCTATAGCCATTTTCAATAGCATTTTTGACATAACCAGAGGGTATGGGGTTTGATTCGCGAATGGTCGTTAAACCATGGGTGTTGAAAATTTCAAGTTTAATGAAGTCATGGTGAAACTATGGGTTTTTCATTAACAACCATGGTTTTTTGAACTGGCAAACTAGAAACCATGGGTGTTCATCAATAATTGGCAAAAACTGAACTCCCCCATGGAAAGTGGCCATGTTTGCTCTTGATATTTCTATTCAATCCAATTACTGTTGGTAAGCTACAACAACCCATTTCACCATCTACTAACCCCTCAAAAATGCAGAAAAGGTCGAAAAAATCCACAACATCTCAGAAAATGAAATCTACTTTTCCACTCTTTTTCCAAACGTGTTCCATCTTTTATTGGCGGATTCACTATATATACCCATCTTTCAGGTCATTTCAGCCACTCTCCTGACCTCACCCCATGGTCCACCTCCTCTACGCGCTGCGCACGTCCATGGCCCTCCCCGCTGCAGAGGCCGTGCAGCACGCTGCAGCCGCGGCGCTGCAAGGGCAGCGAGGACGGATGCGAACGCATGGCCAGCGCCAGAGCGTCCAGGAGCCCGGCCTGGCGCGTTCGAATGTGTTTCCCCAGATCATGGGTATAGCTCCAACCAAAAAAAAGAGTTGATTGGTTAAAATCTCCATCCAAGCTTTTTGTGGTTGGATGAGCCTTGAATGGCAAATCCAACCAGAAACGATTTCTGTGTCTTTTTGGGTGGATTGGGTCCCCACAAGTCTCATGTGATGCTGGCAACAAGTGACCAAAATCTTGAAGATCTCTTGTTAGTAGGTCTAAAAATTTGACACCCAGTTGAGGATGGTGCGAAATCATGTATAATATTTCTAGAAGTTGGTCGCCGATGGTTTGTGGACAGTGTTCAAATATCTATTCCTAACTGGAAGGCTCACCTCCTCAGTTGTTGCCGAGGCTCTTATACAATGCAAAGGGTTTTCCGGATGTCGGTTGGCTCTGTAGACAGGTATTAAATGTAACATAGATACCACGGTTCTAAATTGTCCTATATGTTTCGATATGGTTTTATATGATCCTATATGTTTAGGCTTTATAGGTACATTTTGTGTACATTGTACATGATTAAATGTGACCTATCTGCCATCTGTGCGGTTGATGGTTTATGGTTTATAGTTTACAGTATAGGTTCTACTGATACCCTACCAAAAGAAAACATATTGGTTGACGTTTGCTGTCTATACCACTATATCATATCCCCATAATTCCAATACATCTGCATATGTTTGCAGGTTTCCCTACCAAGAAAAGGTCCCTCCCATTTGTGGATAAGCTTGCCATCCACTGAATTGACATAGACGTGGAAATTCACTCTTTGTAGATCATATTGCTTGAGGTTCGGCATGGGTTTTCCATAGATGTATTAGTTTACTGGAGGGTATATACATCCCATTACATTACATCCCGATTAAACGCACCAATTTCCCACTATATCCCCATCTATATCCTCACCAAATTTCGATTAGTGCATTCAGTGTTCCATCAATATCCCCATCCATCTTCCACGGAAAAAAACTGAATTGCAATGCAACTCTATCAAATATTCATAAGATAAAACCATCAGATATAGATTCGGCCAAAATGATATAGATGGAGCCAAAATTGGCTATAATGTACAAATTTGGATAGCTTTATCATATCATATATATAGTATATCTATAGATATTATGATATTCTACATACTGTACTAACTAAATATATAGATCGAAATAGAAGTGTCATGACCATCTAATAGATAGTTATCATTATTTATCATGGTTTATCTATTTGAGCCATTAAAAATACCCCTATATATCGCATCTCATTATACTAGTTGGTTGATAGGTTTCCCTACTATGGCTTATCATAATCCCCAGTAAACCAGGTAACCTAATGTGGTTACAATAATAAACCATTCCCAGTTTGACCATAAATAGGTGGTAATTATAAACCATGCCCAAATGGGTGGTTTCTTGTTTTAACCACATACATATATCATGTATCCCATGAAATATCCCTATTTTTAGTCAACTAATGTAGGGAGTCACAACCCAAGTTTTAACGGCTGGTTAAATAGCCTGGTTAAATAGCCTGTTTATAAATAGGTGGGATGTTTACCATGCCCAAATAGCCTGGTCTATAAATCAATGGACCAGGTTAATCAATTAATGGTCTACAATTCATGTTTTTTCCATGTTAACCTGGCAAAATAGCCATTCATTCTTTGACCATTAATCATTCATCTGCCCAAATAGCTTGCTGGTCTATAAATCCCATTCAATCTCCCTATATTTTTAGTCAACTAAAAAAAAATGGGGTTGTCATAACATGTCATAACCCAAGTTGAATCACCACATGAATCAAGTCAGAACCCGGCCATTTTCAAGGGCGAAAGGAGGTCATAACCCAAGTTTTAACCACAGGTGGTCTATAAATCAATGAACCCGGCGAGTTTTTCAATGGAAAGCCCTTCAGTTTCACCTCCATGGCCGCATCCTGCAGCTCCGGCAGCTCGCAGATCTCCTGCAGCGCCTTGACGCCCGGCTCCACCACTGAGGCCTCGGCAACCGCGGCGCGCAAAACGCGGCAGAGCGTGGCCACGGCGCCGGCCTGGGCCGTGGAGGCAAAAACCATGGGAAAGTCCCGTGGATCATGGGAAATCTCGGGAAAATCATGGGGAAATCATAGGAAAAATTGAGAAAATCGTATGGAAATCCTAAAAAGATGTGTGAGAAAATGATGGAAAATGGGGGAAAATCAAAATAAGGTTCAGTGGTATCCCCAACAGCCAATTCTTTTATTTTTACAAATCTCTTTGAAGCGTGCTGCGAAGCCAAGCGCTGGAAACCTCAGCTGGGTTTCCGTGAATTAAACTTATCTCACCTGGCTTGGCTTCTGCAACCTTCTCCGGAACCTGTTAAACTTAACTTGGCTTTGCACAAGGCTTCCTGGTACCTTCTCCGGAACCTTCTCGGAAACCCTGTTGAACCTAACCCGGCGCCTGCACCAGTGCACACCGGAGCTATTCTGGGCTGAAGACCCCATTAGCTTACGCTGTTGGGGAAAAATGATTGAATTTGGGGATGCAAAAAGCACACAGGAATTGGAAATCCCAAGACAATTCGGATTTTGGTTAGTATGGGGGCAAATAGCCACCAACCGTGGGACATAACTCCTTAATGAGGAATTATCCTGGGACCATTGCTTTCAGGTCACAAATGATGATTGTTTCTGTTGTTTCAATCCTATTTGTTCTTGGCCAAAGCCCCAGCTTTGTTGCTTGAAATCCCAATGATCCTTGGATACTCAAAACTCCACAGGTTTGGTTTCCTCAAATGTGCTATTTCTCAAATCATTGGCTCAATCCCCCATTCTTGTTCTTCAAAGCAAGTGAAAACAACAGGTCATTCTCAAGGCTTTCTTCTCATCTTCCCATCAAATTGTTTCTAGGTTTCCTTCTCAGCCTTTATTTCCCCCATATTCCCATGGAAATCGCCCGTTATCTTCCTTATCACCCATGGTTTTACCAGGATAACTTGGGGTCCCTCCGGTCCCTCCCAACCCTTCCGAACCTCCACAGCCCGCGGGCGGTGTGCCCGCATGGCCACCAAATGGCTGATGGCCATGGCACCCTTCAGTTGTATCACCTCCTGAGATAGCGCAGGAGAAGACATCAGATCATCAGATCATCATTTTATCTCATCCATTTTTTTTCCCCATGTTTCTTGCTATCCCAAATTTCCATGTTTGCGACATCTTAGCATTTTTGGGACAAACCTAGATGTCCATTTTTTGCTCGGTACGGAAAAGCTCCAAGCTATCTGTCGCCAAGGTGCGTCTCTCGGATGTGCCTTGCAAGCCGTACAGAGTGCTTCGAAAGCACCCGCCTGGCGGGGACCCATGGGGCCATGGCATGTCTTGAGGACTGCAAAGCCGTGGGGGTCTTGACCCATGTGCCAATGACTCCAATGACCCAATATGCCATATCCACAATGATAGTGACTAAAATCCAAACGATCTTAGATAAAAGTCAATCTACTTCCTCATCACCAGAAATGAAAGGAAAACATAGAAGCCATTCACAAAAAAATAGCTGCTGAGGTAAAGGAAGTAAACACTTACGAGAACCCCCTCGTTTTTTTGGTTAGAAAAAAACGTTTCAAAAAAAAAAAAAACGCCGGATTTCCCATGGTCCCTTGATCTTTGGGAAATCCTACGGGTTTTGATGCACTGGCACTACGGCCGCAGAGCTGCCTCCACGGCCCTGTGCCGGTGCTTCTTGAGGACCAGGTCGTCATCATCTCCAGCTGAAAGGCCAGCCAAGACGAAGCAACCAAACTGCTGGACCTGACACAAGTTGCTGCTTAAAACCCCATGTTTGTTGGTTCCCGATATTGATTCTATTTTGTTCTTGTTTTCAAATTTTCAACACATTAGTTATGAATCAAAACAGAATCAGTACTATATATATATACTGACCTGTTTTTATGATAGTTGAAAAGGTGGTACTGAATGTATAGGCATCGTTGGACACAATGGTCACCCACCAGTATTCGGTACTGGTACGAATCGAGGCATTCTTGAAACGATCACTACAGGTGAATGGGGTACCCCTAGGACACTCTCTAGCATTCTGCAGGAAACTAGTTGAATAGTTGATACTGCTGGAGACGGGAGGTAAGCCCAACTAACACCCAATGGAATTAGCACAAGTTGAAGATTGTCCAAAAAGGAAGACAAAGCCCCAGTAGCTGCAGACAAATTACACTACCTTTCGTTGCATGATAGTGGGACACTGCCCCAGATGAATGGAGCCCAAGTTTAAATGAATGGGATGGTTGAAAATTGAAATGCTTTGGAAGGTCTTTTGAACTCCCTTGTCAACGCTTTTTGTGGAGACCCAGCCAGTGACAAAAAACACACACACTAGATGAAGCTACCAGTAGCCACTGCGCTTGTGGAGTTTTGGCGTCGCTGGACCACCCTAAATCAAGCGTTCTAACAGGGAGCGACCGTCACTCCCTGTTAGAACACTCACTACCGGTAGCGACTGCACTTGTGGAGTTTTGGAGTCGCTGGACCACCCTAAATCTTGCGTTCTTCTCAGTACAACCCCAGCGAAAACACAAGATGATCCTTGGGTCGATGATTCCGGTGGCACCCTTAGAACACTCACTACCGGTAGCGAGCGTTCTAAGGCTTCTCAATTCACTACCGGTAGCGAGCGTTCTAAGGGTTCCCAATTCACTACCGGTAGCGAGCGTTCTAAGGGTTCCCAATTCACTACCGCTAGCGAGCGTTCTAAGAGTTCCCACAATTCACTACCGCTAGCGAGCGTTCTACGGGTTCCCAATTCACTACCGGTAGCGAGCGTTCTAAGGGTTCCCAATTCACTATCGGTAGCGAGCGTTCTAAGAGTTCCCAATTCACGACCGGTTGCGAGCGTTCTAATTAAGGGTTTCCATTCACTACCAGTAGCGAGCGTTCTAAGGATTCTCAATTCACTATCGGTAGCGCGTGTTATAAGGGACCCAATTCACTACCGCTAGCGAGCGTTCTAAGGGTGCCCAATTCAGACCAGTAGTGAATGTTGGTGGAGTGACCGTGGTGTCCAAAGATGCAAATATACAGTACCACCTTTTCAACTATCATAAGAGCAGGACAGTATATATGTGGTTCCTTTAAATCTCCCCAATTGTTATTTCAAAGTCCCATCCAGGGCCAAAAAAAACAAGAAGATCAACAAGTAACAAGTGATACCACGTCCAACGAATCCCCGGATCCTTGCTGTTCTCGGGTTCCTTGGCCATGTCCCTCACGGCGGCTTCCACTGCGCCCGCATCTGCCGCTGTCTTCCATAGGCCGTGGACGATGGAAGCCAAGGAAGGACAATCCTGTGGGTTAACCGCTCAGCCCCCCTTGTTTTCGGAAAAACGATGGGTTTCTGAACGGTTCTTTAAAGCTTTTGAATATTGATGTCATGAGAATTTTATGAAATATGATGAATATGATGGATGGGACCACCTCCTTTTTTGTGATGGGACTATGGATGGTGAAAAATGATGGGGCGCCACGGGATGATTGTGAAAATAGTTATGGATTGGATCATGAAACCCCCATTCCCTACGTTTGGCACCAGTAAGTCTTTTAAGTTCTTAATAGGGATTCATGAGAATTTCATGAATGTAAAATGGGACTATCATTTTTTTGTGGGAATTTCAAGTGAAGACCTGAAACTGGGGAGATTCCCTGAGTTTAAAGGGGCCGTTGGTCATGGGAGACCCCCCAAATGGATCCAAATCGCCATCAAATCGTAGGGAAAATATGGGAAAATCATGATCAACCATTGAATTTGGAGGTACCCATGGGTACCTTGTTTTCAAACCCAAATGGAAAATGATGATCAGTTTCATAGGGATTGAAATGGATCAGTTTGGGGGGGATATGTTGGGTTGATGAAAATCTGAGGAATGAGTTGCGGGGATTAAACCATCAGGATTCAAGAACATTAGAGATTTGAGTTATGGGGTCTACCTACCTGCCTATTTCATTCTAGGTCTATGTAAATATCGATGAATGTATCGAACAAAAGACATCGTTCTGATTATCTTCCCATCTCCATCCAATCTTTTGAACCTATCCATCCTACCTCTCCATAGTCCCCGCGCCACGGCTGGCTCCTCTGCCGGCGCTTCATGCTTCTTGGGGACTGAAACTCCGGAACCCATGGCCGCCCCAATGGCATGGCATTACCAACGGAACAAACGCACGCCCAAGGCACGGACGGCGCCAAAGAGAACTTGGCGAGTGTTGATCTGAAAGTTGTTGTTTGGTGAAAATCAATTGCCAAAGATTGCTCATATTTTGATATATTTTGATTGGTCATATGTTTTTCTAGATTTTGAGGATGGTAAACATGTGACTTTTTTCGGCGACATGTTTCGTTTTTCAGCCATCTCCTGCCATTTGGATCGGTCAATTCACAGCCGAGTTTTCTGCGGTTGTCACAGCTTCGCCCCCGAACTTGGAAGAGGTCAAGCGGTGTCGCAACTCGGCGAAACCCTCGCAACTTCAGTGACTCGGGGAGAAAACATGAGATAACACAAAGGCTTGCGCAGCGGAACAGCTTTTTATAGCCAACTCAGCTATGCATGGCTCTTTTTGTGGCCTTTCTTTAGACGAATTTTGTCTGGGTAAATTATAGTATCTCAGAAAAGTGAAATCAAATGAAATCAGACTATTGATTGATATAGTCAACCTCAAAATACCCAAAGTAATATCATTTCATTCACAGTGACGTCCCCATGACGTCGTTATAATTCATCCAGATCGCTTGTCCCAGCTCCTGATGAACGTCTCGGACGTCAACAGGGGGACGTCCTTTGGCCAAAATCTGCAGGATCGACATCAAGGTGATCCAGCTGCACTTCAACAGGATCACAGAAAGCCCGACACAAAACAAGAAGAAGATTTGCAACCAAAAGAGGCAGGAGCGCAAGAAGTCGGAGAGAATGCCGTTGGCAATGTATGCTACTGCGATGACTTGCAGAACTGTGAAGATGAGAATGAGACAGCGGATAACCAGGTCGAGTTTGTCGCGAAATCTGTCAGCCACAGCCTGCTCAGCCTTAGCCTCAGCAGCTTTGGCAGCCTTAGCTGCCTCAGTGCTAGGCACAGCCACAACACCCGCAGCCTCAACATCTGGAGCCACGGAAGCAGCCGCAGTTTTTTGGCGATGCGTCCACATCCAGTAGAGAGACTCAATGATGACGACCAAAACGACCAAGTAATTCCAGCCCACGAAGTTTTCGAAAAGGCCAATCTTCTTGGATCGCAAGCTGAGTACATGCACGGTGCCATAGTAGCTGTTGATGGTCCATATCAATCCCACTGCAGCTGTCAAGCGATCCTTGGCACCTGGAACTGTCAGCACGGCCACGCACAGTATCACCACCCCCAGCGGTACGACGCAGTAGCGATAGATGGCCTTGCGCCAAGATCTCTTTGTGCGCCAAATGAAGGAACACTTGGAACGCCTTTGAAGGTCTGATGTGCAAGGAGGATAACACTGAGAGCCCTGCTGAAACTTAAATTCAGGCGTTGACCACACATCCTTGTCGAACATAGGCTTTACAACCAATCCAGGTAGCAGAACCTTCTCTTCGGTGCGCCATCATCCTGAAGGTCAATTCTGAAATCTTTGACACTTTGCGACTGCTGCACGATTCGTGCTTGGACCTTGCCAGCCATGCACCACCTATCCATGGTAGTCAGGTTGCACTGTGTGCATGTCGACCACTTCGGTGGAATCTAATTCCTCAAGCTGTGTCGACATCTGGCCAGCTTCATTCATATGGCGGTCAGACAAAAATCGACAAACAGCGAGGGCAATAGAAAGGTTCAACTGCCGAGGGTAAATCTTTGCCCTCGCAGTGGAAAACTGTCCATTGTCTTGTCGTCCCTTCAAAGGTTGATGTCCTCCAATGTGATTGCAGCGTCCACGACGTCCACACATCTGAATCATATCGACCAGTGCCGGAAGCCGAAGCACCACAAATGTGGTAGGCTTCTGGGCTAATAGCCCCATAGTGCATTGATCGAATGTCACCACTTGGACACACTGAAGACGTGCAAAACATCGAAACGCTCGTAGCGTCCAAATGGATGCTGGTTTTTTACGTGCAAGCCATACAGGGAAAGCCGGGTGCTCCAAAAATCCGCACAGTCCCAACCGCGCTGCTATCACCAATAAATCCAGCAAAAATTGGACCAGAGTGGAGCCAACATCAACCTGCTGAGCAACTGCCTTCCTAAGCCCTGCCACGCCCCATGGCTCATCATAGCTCCGGACGGGCGGCGGCCCGTTGGCCATATGCCGAGCAGCGGACCATGTTTCGCAACTTGGCCCTCCACCAATGCCCAGGATCTGGCCTTTGGCCATTTGCTCTACCCAGAAACTCCGCGTACTGGGGTCTGTGACATCTGATCGCTGTTTCGCCAAACAAATGTCGATCGACAGGCAGTATACCTGGGCAGTGCCTTGTTGGAATTGAGCTTCAAGGCAATGTTGCAAATCACCCTCTCTCCTATATCCGCTGTAAAAATGTATAAACAAAAAACATTGGATATGTAGGCGAGCTGTTTCTGCAGCAAGATCATACATTTGATAGACACCTGCGTGCCCAGGATCTCCATGCGCAGGAACATGCCCAAGGAAGGGGATAATGTCATCCTCATCAAGTCCAACTGTAGGCAAATGCTCACGGATGCCTTCAAATGCATGAAAACCAGTACCCGGATGGGGAATTCGCCGAGCCCACCGCTCGCGCAAAAGTCTCGCATCTTCCGAACCAGCAGCTGGCAAACATGGCATAGGGATACGGATGACTGGGAGGAAGGCTTTGGAAGGCCTCCAGCCATGGGTTCTTTGTTCACGTGCATATGTAAGATCATCTTCATCCAACTTCGCCACAACCTCTTGCGCTGCTGGCACAAAGCATGCAAGGTAGGCATCGCGACATTTGGCAGACTGTCGAACATGAGTCACAGCTCTACACCGCTGAAAGAACTTCTTACCACATGCACTGCACTCATCTGAAAGCACAAAGTATTTGATAATCTGCTGATACCCATGCATGTGTCGGGAGTGAACTGCTAACGCCCTTTTGGTGTCAAAAGTAGCACTACATTGCAGACAAGACCACGCAGCAGCACAACTATCACGAGGGAGCAACTGCGAAGAAGCAAAACTTTGCAGATCACGCTCTACCTTCAAGGACCACAAGTGGCCCTGAGCGGCTGCTCGATGGTACCTAACTGCCGAGGCAAGGGCTCGTTTCACTCGACCAATCCAGCGTTCATCAACTGCAACATACTGGAGACACGCATGAACATCATTTGCAGGGAGGGTAAAATTTCCCGGATAGTGCTTCATGAGCCAGACAAAAGAACTCTGCAGCAACGCCATCCATGCAGTATCTGCGGTATTGGCAAACAAAGTGCGCCAAAGCAGCTCAGGAGCTGCAGCAATGGCGCGCTTCAAATAACGCAATCTGTTGGCATGCAGAAGATCACAAGGTCCAGGCAAGGACGCAAGTCCACACAATTCTGCAACTGTGAAATGAAAGGCATGAATCTGATGAAGCAGTGGCCGAACTAGCCTACCAATAGCTTCTCGAATTCCATTGGACCATCTGGAGACATCGGCATCAGTAACCCAAGCCCACACATGTACATTGTAGAGAAGGCGAGAGACAACAAGCATAGAGAAAACTGACGTCTTCGTGGCCAACCCAACATTCCGTTTTGAGTAAAAAGGCCGAGCCAGCTGCCCAAATGCTTTTCTTGCTTGTGCAACCCGAAATGTGACATCCTTATGTACCACTGCTTGACATTGAAGAAAAGAGCCGAGGTGCTTGTATGAATGCACAAGGCGCAATGTCTGGGTGCCATGTTCCGTGACAATGGGCAAGGCTCCTGCATAATCATGCCAGAGCTGCTTCTTCACTGCACGAGAACCGGGTCCTGCACAGAAAATCATCGCCTCAGTCTTACCAGCAGCATAGTTGAGCTGCATACCACGCGAAGTGGCTGCATCGTGCAGACAAGAGGCTACTGTCTGCAAGGCCGTGACAACCTGCTCAGCACGCGGAGCATGCAATGCATAAGCAATGTCATCAACAAAGGTTACCTCTGCAAACCCTGAAGGTGGCATGTCTGCAACCTGAGCCAGATTCTGACATGTCTCAGGAGAGCCAAGAAAGGGCATATTGTTGCAGCCTTGGAACTTGGTGCGTGCATCTAAGACAATAAGACGAAACGCCATATTGAAGAGAATGTCTGCTACTGGATCTCCAGGACGGGTCCCACGGAATGTAGCTACTGGGTTGGCAACTCCTTTCATTTGAAAATGCGTACCTGAAAACATATCTACCATGATCCTGTGAGCATGGTCATCAAGGCCACTCGTGGCATTGTCATGGCGAATGCACTGAAGAATCTCATGCCCGTCGTGCGGCCGAATTCCAAGCACTTGCATGGCATGACAGAGCAGGTCATCATGAAGAGGCTGATCAGATAGCATGGATCTCACAACAGTATAGAATGCAGCATGCAAGTCAACGAAAAGCATGGCGCAAGAAACTGTCTGCGAACGAGCCCAAGCAAAATATCCATGCAAAAGATGGTGGGCAATATCCGTCGAGCATCCTTTACGGCCACCCTGTTGAATAAGGTCATCATGCGTATTCCACGTATCAACAAGTGCTTTGCGAACATGGGAGTGGTGAATCTTTCCACAAACATCAGAGATAAAGATCGAACGGTAAGAAGCAGCCTCCTGCGGGGATCCCTTGCCCTTAAAAAGGGGAATAAGCAACCCCCCCTTCCAAGACAACGGTTCACGGACCTGAGTCTGAACCTTGGTCATGAGCGGAAGCAGGATTTGAGCAGCTACATACCCTCCCGCTTTGAGCACATCAATGGGAAGCAATCCTGGACCTGGAACTTTTCCAGACTTCATACGCCTAATTGTAGCCAAGATGTCATGAGAGGACATGAGATGCGAAGGATCACACAACTGCCCAGGGGACAACTGCACATGAAGCTGCTGCAACTGGGCATCATTGACATGAAGCCCGGCCTCAAGAGCGGCAAATTGATCACACCAAATTTGCTGACATTGTTCAAAAGAGGTTGCCTTGCCTCCTTGTGAATCTTTCAATTGAGGCAATGGCCTAGGCCCTTTGTCGAGTGAGTTCTTGCGACGGCCTAGCCTCTGC